AGAAGGAGTTTCACTATGTCACTCTGGGTAGAGTGCTGTGACATCACAGCTCACAGCAACCTCAGACTCTTGGGTTTAAGTGATTCTCTTGCCTCAGCCTTCCAAGTAGCTGGGACCACAGGGGCCCGCCACAATGCCCGGCTATTTTTTTTTTGCTTGCAGTTGTTATTGTTGTTTAGCAGACTGGGGCCGGGCGAACTCGCCAGCCTTGGTATATATGGCTAGCGTCCTTACTCATTAAGCAATTCTTTTGCCTCAGCCTCCCAAGTAGCTGGGACTACAGGTGCCGCCATAATGCCCAGCTATTTTTTTTTTGCTTGCAGTTGTCATTGTTGTTTAGCAGACTGGGGCCGGGCGAACTCGCCAGCCTTGGTATATATGGCTAGCGTCCTTACTCATTGAGCTACAGGCACTGAGCCTACCTTTTTAAATTTAAAAAAAAAAATTAAAATTTAATATGCAGCAGAGAAGCAACAAATACAAAAAATATGCTTAAAATAATTTTCTAAAAAATGCAATGCAAATTTAAAATAGAAATGAATATAATAAATCAGAAATAAAGCAATCCAAATCTTCTGTTGCCATTATCCTCTAAATTCTTGGTTAATTTAAGAAAACCACCATGGTGATTTTTGGGGAGGCAAAATTAAATTTCCCCAACCACATTAGGTGATAGAAAGAAACAAGGAATGTAAAAGGATGCTGCTATCAAAATAGCATTTAGGAACAATGTCCCCTCCCCCTCCCCACACACACACAAGATGCAGACAAGTGAGCCGCAGACAAGTGAGCCGCAGACAAGTGACTTTTCTCATTTCAGAGTTTCAACTTCAGTCATTTCTAACAACGTAGTACAGCAGTTGGGCCTTAAAATTGGACAGCCACTGGAGATGCCAAAGACAAGAGAGATAAACTTTTTCTTTTCCTGAATTTTATCTTATGTTTTGCATTTTTTCAGACTTAAAATTCTAAACATTTTCTTCTATATGTTTTGTTTTTAAAAATCTTTTATATGTGTTGACTAAAACATCTTTTTTTATAATGCATTTAATTCTTCCATAATATATTCATAACAAAACATATACATTTTGACAAGTACACATACTAGTGCCTGCTCGAAATGGAATCCAAGATCCACTTAAATACAGCATGAAATAAAAGTCACATATGCCTGTGTGTACACATATGCATTTATATGCATTGATGTTGTTAGTGTACACCAGTCATCCTTTAAGTCTGTCTACAATGAGTCATGATTTGGACCCAGCGTGTTTTGTAAACGGTTAGAGTATTTTTTACATTCCAATATGCAGATACATTCTCCTTTTCTCCCACCCATTTTGAGGAATTATATAAAATGACTATTTTATAAATGAAAATAATTAAAATTATTTCACCTTTAATGTTACTATGACAGCTGATGGATATGTCAGACCAACCACATGATATGATTTTCTGTACATTCTGAAAAAGACAAAAATAAGTGTATATATAAAAACAAAGTTTTTAGCTATTTATTAAATAAGGGAAAATATTACTTTTGGCTTATTCATCTTTTAGCATTGGTTACATGCTCTTTTTGTAGCAACAATAACTATAGCCACTGTGTACTAAGCATTTATAATATGACAGAGATTAATAGCATTTTGTTTACTCACAACCACACTATAAAGTTAATGTAATTTTAGTTTCCATATCAAGATATCCTTCCCTGAACTTATTAAAAAATAGACTGTACTTTGCATATGCAGCAATATTTTCTAACACGCAACCATATCCATGACAATAAGATATTCTTGTTTTTTGTCCATTCATGTGCTTGAATGTCATTAAAATATTTCAGTTATGGCTTTTTGTAAAAATGGAAATTACAGGAGGGAATATGCAGTATCATCATAATTTACACAACCTTTTTTAGTTAACAAGATTGGGAGAAATCATATGGGCAAAAATTGCTTAAGTTTGTTCAAATTATAATTTAGTATTATTTATGAAAGATTATTTTTTGACAGAAAACCAAGTATTTTTCCATTTCCACAATAGTATCAATAAAAACGTATTTTTATACATCAATAATTTCATTTTTCATCTTCTAGTGGGCAATTAAAATGACATAAATCTGTTCTGTTACTGGTTCATGCAAGAATAGAATCAATATGGAATTCTAATACGTAAAAAATAGCAGTAGGCTTCTATTTGGGACTCTGAAAGATAGATGTTTCCTCCATGAAGTGGAGGAAAGCATCCATGTCTCTTGCATTCCTTGGATGTATTGCTATAACTTCTTCCCACTACCTGCCAAATGCCTAAATAATACCAAATTTTAATTAAATGTCATATTGATAAATATGGTCAATATAAGAAATAATTAGATAGAAAAAATTCTGTATCTTTCATAAAGCCACTATGAAAGATACCAACTTTTTTGATTCTATAATCTTATATTACGAATTCATGGGACATATTACTACATTTTTATGTAAAGGGCATCGTTTTCTTAATGATAATGAAAGCCAAGTAATTAATCATGTTTTCCTTTTTAATCTTGACTTCTTGGAAGCTCAGAATTAAAATAATAGTATTTAATTACATCTCTAGCCTAGGCTTTCTTGGTAAAGTATCTTCACATTTTATTCCAGAGGTCTTGTTACTTTATTTTCATGCTTCTATTTCATGGTTATTTTAAAAGACCATGAATTAGCAATATTAAAAAAGTTACGCTTATCCTCTATTTCTATTAAAAGATTTCAGAAGAGTTTATAAATAAAAACACTGATGTTAATTGAGATAGTAATAATTATTCTAATCTTTCAAGGCAAGGAAACTACTAATACTACTACAAAAGATCTAGAAAATAATTATTGTTAACGATGATACTTAGTTTTTTAAAATAAAGTTTTTTCAGGTGGCTCAAAGGAGTGAGGCACTGGCCCCATATGCCAGAGGTGGCAAGTTCAAACCGAGCCCCAGTCAAAAACTGAAAAAAAAAAAAAAAAAAAATTTTTTTTTTCTATTTCTATATCATTATTACTAAAAAAGAGTGGTGCAGGGGAAATGAAAGGGTGATAAATAGGGGAAAGGGTCAATATAAAAATCAAGAAGGAATAAGAAATATTAAAATATTAAATAAATGAAGCCAGTTTGACTTCATGGCACAGAAAAGCAGTATAATATAGCAAAGAGAACACATGTTCTGAATCACAAGTTAGACACTCATTAGCTGTCTGACTTTCAGAAAGCTATTAAATGTCACTCACTTATAAAATAAGAATAATAATAAGCTTTTGTTAAGGCTAAATAATATTAATGCCTAGGATAAGATAATAAATATTCAATATAAGTTAACTGTTATTATTAATAAAACTATTTCCATTATTCTGCAGTCAATACCATTGTTTCCAACTATTAACATCCCTTAGAGCTCCCTGGGGTGAGTGGGAACTCTGGAGCTATTGAGTTTCTTACACTTGGAGTAAACTGAGAAATGAATATTGATGCACTTTGTCATTATATGGAATGTAAAGAAAGACAAAGAGGATTATCCCTCCAAAGAGACAGAGAAACTTTCTGATGATCACACTTTTCTAATCTTATAATCAAGAATAGAATTCTAGGATAGAAAATTAAAAATAGAAAATTAACAATCAAGCTGAGAGTCAGATCAAAGATGCATTACAGTAGTAAGAAAGAAAATAAAATACCTAGCAGTATACTTTAAAGGAGGTGTAAAACTTCTATAGGGAGAATTATGAAACACTGAGGAAAGAAACTACAGAGGATATAAATGGATGGAAAAATATACCATGTTCATGGATCAGCAGAATCAACATTGTTAAAATGGCTATCCTACCCAAAATGATTTTAATTCCAATTAAAGTACCAATGACATTTTTTTGCATAATTAGAAAAAATAGTTTAACACTTTGTTTATAACTAGAAAAAGCCTGAATATTCAATGCAACCTTACATAATAAGAACAAAGTGAGAAGTTATCACTTTATGATACTTCAAGCTATACTTTAAGGTAATAATAATCAAAACAGAATGGTACTGGCACAAAAAACAGAAGCATTGACCTATAGTTCAGACCAGAGAACCCAGAGATGAAATCATCCTCATATTCTCATCTGATTTTTGACAAAACAGATAAATACATTCACTGAGGAAAAGAAGCCCTGTTCAATAAATGGTGGTGGGAAAACTGGATAGCCAGATGTAAAAGACTGAAATGCACCCTTTGCCATTGTTTGTAAATATTAACTTACAATGGATAAAAGACTTAAACTTAAGACAGGAAACTATAAGATTCCTTGAGGAAAATGTTGAAAAAAATCATATTAATATTGGTCTAGGGTAAAAATTCATGAAGAAGACCCCAAAAACAATCACAGTAACAATAAAAATAAATAAATGGGACCTAATCAAATTAAAAAGCTTCTGCACAGCCAAGGGCACAATCAAAATAGCAAATAGATAACCCACAGGATGGAAAAAAATATTTGCATGCTATACATCTGATAAAGGACTGATAACTAGAATCTACAAAGAACTCAAGCAGATGAAGAAATAACCAAATAACCCCAAGAACCACTTCTACACTAGCAGAAGTACTGATGGCCAAAAACCTTATCAAACAATATTCAACATCTCTAATCATTAGGGAAATGAAAATCAAAACTACAATGAGATATCACTTAACTCCAAAAAAAATGGCTCATATTATAGGGTGACCAGACATCCTGCTTTTGGCAGGACAGTCTCGCTTTTTAACAATTTGTCCTGCGTCCTGCGGCATTTTAAAAAAGTCCCAATTTTTGGAAAGAATGTACGAACGGGCGGGAGAACAGGAAGGGAATATACGGTTTTTGGCTGCCATGTGGCTATTTTGCCAGAATATGAGTTTTATATTATTTTTGTTAATTTTATAATGTTAAACTGTAATAATAACAAATAATTGTTGAGAAGTGATTATGGAGAACTGCTTATCAAAGTTTGCATTATTGTCAGGCCCTGCCCTGCCCTGCCCCCGCCCCACTCTGCCATGTTGTCCCGCTTTACAAATGTTAAAATCTGGTCACTCTATCATATTAGAAAGTCCCCCAAACAACAGATGCTGGTGTGGATATGGAGAGAAAAGAACTCTTACACACTATTGGTGTGGAACTGCAAACTAGTACAACCTCTATGGAAACTTGTATGGACATATCTCAAAGAACTTAAAGTAGACCTACCATTTGACTCTGCAATTCCACTGCTGGGTATATACCGAAAGGGAAAGTGTCATTTTATAAAAAAGCACACCTGTATACGAATGTTCATAGCAGCACAATTAGCAATCACAAAGACATGGAAACCACCCAAGTGCCCACCAATACATGAATGGATTAATAAAACATGTAATATACATACAATGGAATACTATTCAGCCATAAAGGAGAATGGTGATCTCGTAGCTTTTGTGACAACCTAGACAGAACTGGAGACCTTTCTTCTAAGTGAAATTTCATAGGAATGGAGATACAAATGGAAGTGAACATCAATGAAAATCAAATTGAGAGAAAAAGGAGGCGGGGGTGGGGGGTGGGAAAATTCCTACCTGTTGGATATGCTGCACACTGTCTGGGTGGGAGGTATGCTTATGCTTTACTCAATTTGTGCAAAACACAAAGTATGTAAATAAAACATGTGTACCCCCCAAATTCTGAAATTTAAGAAGAGAAAAATAAAATGGAAAATTAAGATACATCATCTGGAATCAGAATGAGCATGGGAGAAACCTTAATATGGTTACCTGACACTTTAGTAAATGGGTGATCTATTACAAGTTGCTGAAAAAGGATAATGAATTTCCTGGGCTCCTAGTGGTAGCGAAAGTCCAGTTGGAAATCTGGTGGCTTATTTAAGAAAGGTTTTATAATAATTACAAAACATAATTCAAAAATTAAAAGAAGATATAGTTTATATCAAGCACTGGATTAGGCAACAGACTATTTAGTGGAGGGCAATGAAAATACAGGGCTTATTCCAATAGTGAAAAGACACACACAAAAATAAGAAACAACATAGGATTATAGACAAGGATAAGAGCTCTGAGGTAAACCATGGGCTGGGGAGCAGTACTAAGAACTCATACAGAGTGATCAAAGAAGGTCCGTGGAAAGCAAAAAGGACCAGCCACATTGGAGAGTGAAGAGAATAATTTCTGACAGAGAGAACAGTAGGATTAATAGCTCTAAGACAGAAAGAGTTTAGAAATGTTCTTAGAATTGAAATCAGATCGGAATGATATATTCAGTCAAGGATGAAGGAAAAATCAAATGAGATTATAAAGAAAAAGGACCAAATAAGACCTGATAGACAGGTGAAATCAGAAACCAGCAGATGGTTTTCATTTTAAGAGTAATAGGAACAAATTTGTATTTTAAAACATCACCATGGAATGACTCATTTGGAAAGAGTACATGAGGAAGAGAGGAGCCAGATAGAAATCCATCGACATATTTCTAATAGCAGAGGATGGAGGCTTAAACTAGGTTTACAGGAGAAGGTACATTCAGGATACTTTTGAGTACGTAATCACCAGGATTTGCTATGGTATTGAATCTCAGGAGGGGAATTTTTGAGAGAGGACGCAACAAGAAAGCATTCTAAAAATACTTTCAGCTTTTAAGATTGAAGATGATTACTTTTGAAAATTCAAAATAAACCTGTCCCACTATTTTTAAGTATTTGCTATGAGGTATTCAATAGTGATTTTAAAAAAATTTCATTTTCATGTGTCCGTAGCACTTTGATTTCTTCAAAACTGCTTACTGATTTGGTTACCTTAAGTACATTTTGCTATTTCTATAGGCTATTAAAGATTTTTATGTAGCATATGAAAAAATGGAAATTTAGTATCTCAATATATTTAATAGAATTCTCCTTAACTTTGTCTTGAATGAAATAGAAATTCAGTTGCTTTGCATCCATGTCTACTTTTTTGTTCAGTTTGCCAAGTTTTGCAATTTCTTTTAAACGAAAAAAGCAAAATATACATTCCTTTAGCAAATCAAACATGCTTTGTTGTTTTATCTGTGATTCTCTCAATCACTTCCTGAAATAATATTTAGATATTTTTACCGTGATGCTGTAGAAAAATCAATAAGTTTCACAGTTGCCTAAGTTGTTTTTTAAAATAGTAATATGGTTATAGAAATTCCTCTCTTCTGCCTCCCTGCCTTAGACTTCTGGTCCCAGCTGGTGGCGTTGGCACAAGTTTTTGTACTTAAGGGGATGGTGTCCTATCACCAAATGAATCAGACCATTTATTATGAAGATTTAAAAAAATCTCAGCTGAGTAGATGCAGTTAAGAAATAACACAAAATAAAATGAAAACCACTCAGTGGATGCTATTTTGGGTGAAACAGGCACACGCCAAAATATTAAAAGCTTTATGCGCTGTGTTTATAATCCATCTTTAACATGCACAGTATATTTCTTACAACACATTCTCACTTTTAGAAACCCCAGTGTGCTTCTCATTGTTCCTTTAGTAGAGGGAAACTGAAGTTTGTAATGTGTATAAGAGGTCAGGCCTAGAGAGATCAGAAGATGAAAAATAATGTGGTCTCTTGCAAATGTAATTTTAAGAATATTGACATAAAGTTTCTCTGTTCCTCCTTTTATTATTTTCAAAATGTTAAATAATATTTTACATATAATTTAATATGATTATTTTTAATCTAAAGGATTTCTGAGAACTACCGTTCAATTTTGTCAGACATAACATGTTTATGTGGGGTCTTTTTGTAGTTTTAGTTCTAAAGCATCTTGTTTCTTAAACATATGAATAAGCTGTGTTCTAAAGGATAAAAGAGTATAAAATTGGGTCATATCAACACGTGTTTCACATAGGAAACTCTGGAGATTAGACTCGGTGTTTCTAGGGACTATCAAATACTCCTTGTTTCAGTAATAGAAATGTTAAAAAAAAAAAAAAAAAACTCCTCAAAAGTGACCATGAGAGAGATTTTTTTTTTTTTTTCCTAAGATGGGAAGGTGAGGAGAGGATGGTCATTTGTCTTTAGGGAACAGAAAGGCCAGTTTCATTTTTATATGTAGATTGCTACCCCATGCATAATTTATTTTATGAGATGTTACATTTTATTCAGGTACAATTAGTTGTAATAACACATGAACATATTGGAATTGATTTTAAACAGTTATTCACAAAGGTTCATTTGAGGAGATCGACCATTCAAAAGCCTTTGCTTTCAATATTTATGCCAACTGAAAATAAATAAAAAGAATAGATCCAGGCCAAGGTATTTTAGTTATAGGTAAAGTTGTCATAAAGTCCTTAATATGCTCATACTTGTGAGGACTGTCAGTTTCCCCAATGTGTAAAATATGGGCCTCTCCTAACTTGGATGAGTGAACATGGGTGCTGCCATGCAAATTTTATTGTCCTGAGACACCAATGATCTCACTTACCTTTCCACAAAAATTCCAGCTTGAACAGCATGTACAATGCTCCGAAATTTTGGCTTTTCCTCATGTTTCTTTTTTGTCATCCCCATTTTCCGTGTAAAGGTAGAAGCCAACCAGTCGCGGACTTCCGATGGAACCGCATCAGTCTGAATGTCACTGAGCTCATCGTCTGTATCCAGCAGTCTCCTACAAGAATGTGTGCGGATCGAACATTAGAAAAAAGAGAAGGAAACTGACAATAAAACACAAGCATTGCAGTGGGACTTAAAAATATAGCAAATTACTCCCTTATTATCCCTTAACAAGAACTATTAAAAGAAATTGCGCTAACATTTGAAAAGCTCTTAATTTCTCAAATTGATCCTCTTTTGAAATCAAAACACTAAAAGACTTGAACATTGGCAGCTTTTTGTACAATGAAGCCAGTCTGGAAGTATCAATTACTGATATGGAGGAACATTCATATGCTACTCCAATTGGGAATAAAACTAAGAAGAGATTGAGAAAAGAATCCATAAACACGTGCCTGCTATCAGAAGGAGCAACTGGCATAGAAGCACAAAAGGGAAATGGAATCTGTAATAGTTGTCACATGTGTAAGAATCTTATATATATAGTACAGATAGTAGTACATGCTATTTGAATATGGCTTAGGAATTTACAAAAGCCATTCATAGGTGCTATTTTACTGGGTATTTCTAAATTTTAGGAAAATAATAAGATATTATTCTCATATTATCACTGAAGATTTCAAAAATTAAGAGATGAAAGCACATGAAAATAAGTGAAGTATTTTGAAAGCTTATTTCAGGTGACCAAGCCTGTTTAAGTGGAAGAAACAACTTCATAGAAAGTGCTGTCTTCCAGGAGAAGCTGATGGGTTTAGAACTGCTGGACAAGGAAATCCTAGGAGTGAGGCAGTGAACAGGAACTGGAACCTCTCCCTTTCTCCTATGAAAACCTCAAGGAAACTGGACTGACCCGTAATAACAGCTGCCATTAAAGCAGAAAAGGTAACACCCGTATCATAAAGCCACACAGCTTCAGTAATCAAGAACTTCCTAAGGGTCTCAAGTGGCGAGATCCTGTGAAAGGCTTGCCACCAAAATACAAAAGCAGCTGTACAGAGCTGCCAGGCTTTGCCTCCAGGCCAAGTCTGCCCGTCATCTGAGCTGTTCTTTCCTTGTCAGTGCACCAAATTAAGAACTCAGAGCTCCTTTGGTACACTTCAACTTTGACCTGTGCGTTTCATTTGCTTTGGTAAATCTCTTTGCACAGAATGAGGCCGAAGGATTATGAGTCAATGGGGAGAATGTAGCCAGAAGTGGCTGTACATGCCAAAGCCTCAGGGATAAGTCACACATCTCTCAAGAAGGAAGGAACAAAACAAAATGGCAAAAAACAGGAGGCCCACCCGGAATATCTAGTGAGACCAAAGATAGGCTCAAAAGATAAAATCCATATGAAAACTCTACACTGTACCCCATGTTTGCATTAATGTATACAGCTATCATTTAATAAAAAAAAGAACACATCTTCATGTTCCTTTAAGTGTTTTCCTGTATGTTCTGCTGTTTGTCATAGACATGCAAAGACAGTTATTTACAAATATTTATTTTTCATGGTAGTAAGCATGAATGAATTTATGAGATAACTTACGAAAAAATAAACAGAGCTAAAGTACTGCAGTTACAAAGCTAAATGTATACAAATGAAGATAAAAAAGATTTATAGCGTTGGATGTTAATTCTAATTAATACTTACTTCATCCTACTTTTTACTTTCATGTGGATCTTACGTTTGGATTTTGGTTTTGGTTTACCCTTACAACACAGAAATGGACAAATACAACAAACTGTTTTTTTCATCTTTTTGTCCATTTTAAATTAGATTCCTTGGCCCATCTCAGCAAGTCAATGATCTGTATGGCTTAAAAACTTTACTGTAAATCTTTACTTTAAAGATTATGCCATTTCTATTGCTCTTATGCAGTGATCAAATAAAACAACAGAGCAGGTCAGGTGGAATAGGAATCCTTGTGGTGTCATCCTGTGATGTCACTGTGCTCCCAGCATTCCACTGCTGCCTTGTTTTATCAGTGAATCTAAGTCACACCATAATGGCTGCCTAATCCTCTACAACACATGTTGATGACTTAAGGGTTTATGTCCTACACTCACGAATTATCCAACACAGATTATTAAAAATGATAAAATCAACACACAGAAATGATAGTTCACACAGAGATATGGTACTCAGAAGACTGGCAATCCTTACTCACTATGTATGAGGTCACTTATTGAGAAGGAAACAGCGTATAATCCCAGAGAGAAAGAAAGATATGGATTAATTCATGGGCAAGGATAAAGGAAGAGGATATGTAAAGAAAAAGCATGGAATATGATCTTGTACACATATACTTTAAAAAGAGGATCTTGAAAAAGTAACAAATAGCTCTGTAATGTTTATATGTCAACTTGGCTAGGCGATGGCGTCCAGTTGTTTGGTCAATCACCAGTCTACCCTCCTTTCTCTGAAAGTATTTTTTACAAGTGATTAAGAGCAAAGCAAAATATGGGTGGGCTTCATCTGATCAATTGAAGACCTTAAGAAAGAAGAGGTCTCCCAAAGAGGAAGGAATTCTGCTTCCAGACTGCATTTGTACTTAAGACAGAGACATTGGCTCCTGCCAGATTTTTTAGCCTGCCGGTCTGCCTTGCAGATTTCAGACTTGCCAGCCCCAATATTCACATAAGCCAATTTCTTAAAATAAATCTCTCTTAATCTCTCTCTCTTTCTGTGTGTGTGTGTGTGCGTGTGTGGGTGCATGCGTGTGTATGTGTGTGTATCCTATTGCTTTGGACAAGAAAGAATATTTCCATCACTTATGAACACTGTGGAAACTACTAATATGGGTTATAAATAAGATAAGAGATAAAGGCTCAGCTTTCTATTAATATTCATTTAATGGAACATAACAAGTCTATTTCTGGTACAAAAATCTATTTGCAATTGACTAAACACCATACTGTGCAGACAATGCAACATTATTGTCAACCTGTGAAGTGATTACAAATTGAAAAACTTACAATGATCCCCTCTCATATAGAACTTATATTCTAAAAGAAAGAGACTTTAGAGAAAATAGGGAGAATGATATAACAAGATTAATTATGACCGGAAACACTACGTTAGTTAGGTAAGATGGCCAGGGAGTTAGACCTGGGGAGTAAGAAAGAATTAGACATAGAAAAGGCCCGGGGGAAGGACATTCATTCCAGACAGATAGCAGAGCAAGTGCAAAGGCCCTGAGGATGGATCAGCATCCATGTGTGTGAAGAACAGAAAGGAGGCCAAATGTGGGTGCAGGGTACTGAGTGAGAGGGAGAGTGAATCAAGACAGGAGGTAAATTTAGGTAGAAATCAGCTACTATCAGGCCTTAGAAAGATTTTGTCATTTTTACAATGAAAAATCATTGATGTGTTTCTAAGCAAGATGTGGTAAGATTTGCATTTCTAAAAGCCCACACTGTGTGCTGTGGGAATAACAGGTAAGACATAAGAATGACGTGAGCTTAGTTAAGCATCTGATAACTCAGCACAATTGGAAAGATGATCTTTTATTTTAGAAGTTCAATGTTTTCTGGGCCTTAATTGGCATAGAGCTGGGCATCATTTTTCTTATACACGTATGGTTCAAAACATTAGTGCTATTTTACTACTGTTTTCTCAGATTATAACTACTTCTTTTTCTGTTCCATTTGCTTGATTCTCTTCTTCAGGGAAACACACTAATGCCTCCCAGGGATCTCTTTTATCAAGTTTGCATATTTATCATCTTCCAATAAATGTATTTTTTTAAGCTGTCTTTTTCCTTATCCTCTTCTGTTCACCTTTTCCTCGTTTTATGTCTTCAGTAGTGTGTCTTAAAATCTGCAGCTCTGGGTGCGGCTTACCTCCCTGGATAGGTTTGTCTCTCCTCCTCCTCTGGCTTCCTGGGTGATGTGCACTGATTTTTCACCTCCTCGTATTATATCATTTATCTCTTAAGCCCATGTGTCTTTGTATTAAACTTATTAACTTATTTCTACAGAAGTGATGATTTCAGTAAATTTGAGTTTATAGGACAAGCTCAATGATTTGCACATTCCTCTGGCATGGGTTCTGTGCGCCTTATTTGTCCCTAATCCTTTCTACCTTTATTGTTGTATTTTTGCATGGATTCTGTGCTGGGGTTTTTTGAGAGTTGTTCATCCTTGTAGGAGTGAACTTGTTTCTGGATAGGACAGTTGAAGGGAAGGACCAGGAGATATGTGAGCAGAGAAGAAGTAAGTCTGGATGTGTGTTTGTGTGTCTAAGACCTGGCTTAAATTTCCCTTCTCTTTAGCAGACAGAAACAAGCAGCTACAGGCCTCTTCTTTGCTCTATAGCACAATGGCAGAGATGGCCTTCGTCTTCCTATGTTTGTATCTCTGCTACTCCCGCATGTGAGACTGGGAAGCCTCCACAGTCAGCCAGCACACCTTGACTTTTTTGTTTTGGGTGAGGAGTTTCTATCTTTTCTTTTAGAATGATTGTCATTCTCTAGAGGACTCTGTATTCTGTTCTCTCTGCCTAAGGTCTATAATCTTGGGCACCTGCTTCATTAAAAGAAAAAAATAGCTTTTTATTTTCCTTTTTTTTTTTTTTTTTTGACAGAATCTTACTATATTACCCTTGGTAGAGTGGTATAGCAGCCCAGCTCACAGCAACCTCAAACTCTTGGGCTTAAGTGATTCTTTTGCCTCACCCTCACAAGTAGCTAGAACTACAAGCACCCACCACAATGCCTGGCTATTTTTTTGTTGCATTTGTCATTATTGTTTAGCTGGCCTGGGCTGGGTTCGAATCCAGCACCATCAGTGTATGTGACTGGCTCCGTAAACACTGTGCAACAGGTGCCGAGCCAACCATAGAATTTCTTTTTTTTTTTGAGCAATTTTATGCTTACAGAAAAATTGAATGGGTAGTACATCTCATCTCCCCTCCTACATCCACAATTTCCCCCACTATTGACAATTTGTGTCACTGTGTTATACTTATTTCAATTGATGAGACAATATTGGTATGTGATTATTGAAGCCCATGGTTTGCACTAGGGATTGGTGTGTTGTACATTCTGTGGATTGTGGCAAATGTACAATGAC